GTTTGTGTTCACACGAAGCTATCAAGCGCTCCGCCGTTTTCACCTCGCTCCGTTTAGAAACCGTGCTCAAATTGTTACGGCAAAAGTGACGTGAAAGTTTTCAAACGATTTCGATCCAGCATAGAGTGAATTAGCGATGGCTTATTGTGACTTTTCTACGCTGTTCTCAAATAGCTCCGGCGTGGCGGAACACTTGGCGGCTTCTTGTGACTTGCGAACACAAACACATGGCAGGTTTTGTCGGATAATTTGCAGAAATTCACTTCGAAATTCGTTCAAGTAAAATTCGGACTGATATTCGATGTAAGTTGCAACGGTTAGATGGAAAACACGGAGTCGGAGTTCCGGAGTCGGAGCCCCGGAGTCGGAGTCCCGGAGTCGGAGTCCCGGAGTCTGACGTCATAAAAATATGGAAAAGACGGAGTCATATGGAAAACACGGAGTCTGACGTCAGAGAAAAATATGGAAAACACGGAGTCATATGGAAAACACGGAGTCTGACGTCATAAAAATATGGAAAACACGGAGTCATATGGAAAACACGGAGTCTGACGTGAGAGAAAAATATGGAAAACACGGAGTCATATGGAAAGCACCACTGAGCTGTATAATAATTGGAGGACCTGCTCCTATACTTCGTTCAGTCAACCAAGTAAAGCCAAAAACATGGCGGATTTTGAGTGAAAATGACGCCATTTCCATGACTACTGGTCCCTAAATTCATGGTAATTGCCACTGAACAAGGCTCAATTGTGAGCCCGCCACAGTTTTCACCCCCCCCTGGTTTCTGAAAAAAATATTTCGGATTTTTGCAGTGAATTCTTGTTGTTTTGTTATTTTCGACATATTTTTTCGACGTTTGACCATTTGTTCAAGGATGTGAAAGTCGTACACGTTATTCTCGTCCGTGACAGACGACAAACAACTATTAAAACCTCCCAAAATGTGGACAAAAACGATATTTCAAGCCGGGCTATAAACAGCAGTCTATAAACATGCAGTCAACTCTAAACAGGTAAACGTTTTAAAATTCACATTTTTATTTTAGTATTTCATGAAAAAATGTTAGGAATAAATGGTAAAATGTACTCTATTTTTTTAGAAAATAAGCCACAAGTGTTTATAATGTGGTTGTAGATAAACCTTTTTGTATTTACTGTATTAAGTTTATGCAATAATTTCATCCCTCGCAATATCGAGTTGCACAACAGTACATGTATGATGAAACTATGATGTTTTGGTGTATTAAAGAGGAAATTAAGGTTTTATATATTTAGCCAAAGGTTTTGTTATGCATGAGCTTGTGGTGAACTGATGCAGGAAAAAGCTCAGCTGCCTAGTAGGGCCAGCTGAAGTGAGAAGGCATGTTTTATATCCAGAATTGTACATTGTAGTTTTAATATGTGCTCTCTGATTGTATTGTATTGTATCATTTGTATGATAGTTTGTTGTATGTGTCTTTAAAAGGCCATTAGCTTGTTTGCCCCATCCCTCAAATATTAAGTTAATTGTGAGTCTCTAGTTTTGCCATATTGCAGTAAGCGAGACTTCACTGTGTTGTTATTTTAATATTTTTATAGTGGAAATTCCTTTCAATTTGCATGGATAACCTGGCTCAGTTTGAGATCTCACTTGAACAAGACAAGATCTCTAAATGTTAGACAAGATAGTTACTAACCTGACTGACTTGGTCAAAATGAAGTCAAAACAACAAAATTGGTCATGAAAATAGTGTCAAAACAATAGAGATGCAGAATTTTCCAACAATGCATGAGTCCATGCCACTGTTGTTTAACTGTTAAAGATTCAAAATCATGATTAATTTTGTATTATTTTAATTAAACTTGGTCAAAGAATAATTATCAAATTAATAATTATAACTGTACAATCAAGTTACAATATGTGATAGAGTATTATTATAACTGTAGCTCCATGGGTGATTCTTTGGCTGTTCCCTGTTTTGATGCCTTGGGCCATTTCTTGTAGTACATATAACAGGGTTTTTTTCAGGATTTTCTCTTGGGTCCATTTTTGCAGAGAAGATTGATTTAAGCTGAACAGCTGTGGTGGTTGCACCCCCCCCCCCCCTACCGGGGGGCTGACACTTGTACTCAACAAATGTAGTTGAGACGGAATGTGTTAAAGCAGGGGCATTGAGGGACACTATAAACTGGTTAAAGATGGCGAATGCATAGTTTTTCTTGTGTTGTGAGATGAATTCCAGCCATTTTTTCTTAATTGTCGGGTTTCCAACTGAAAACTAATTTCCACACATCACAAATTTAACTCAAACAACTTCATTTTTACTGCTGCACTGAAACTTTGGTGAGAAGATTGAGTTTCAAAACTCAATTCAAGATTGAGTTTTTGGGCCCGTTTAACGGCCCTAAAAATCCCTGAAAAAAAGCCTGATATAAGACTTTGGAGAAAAGTCATTGTTCGTTTTTCCAGTTACGGTAGGTCTGGCAAGTGCCACCACTACTATAACACCACTATTCTTGTTATTTGAACATTCCAAAGAACTTGTCCACATGACTTACATCCCGGATCACCCTAAATGAGAAATGTCAATTATATTTATAAAATAATGACAGCTAGTATCATTAGAACACACTTTGAAGAAATAGTGAGTCACATATACCAGGCTCCAAAGTCCAATTACAGGGAAATTTACTGTAGAGTAGACATTATTTATATGTTAACCCATTCAGCACGTACGACTGTGCTCTCTTGTTGACAAGTAAAATTGTTGGCATTAGACAAAGTAACACGAACATATACAGTAGCTAGGGTGCAATGCAACTGAACCCATTGAGGGGCAGCACTCTTAACTTGACAAGTAAAATCGTATGGCATTGGACAGAGTAAAATATTGTAGTAGGGCGCACTGCCACTTAAAGGATTAAAAATGGGTTCATTACGGATGAAATAAATTGATCCAAGCATTTTTCACATATGAGTTCTGGCATTTATAAGCCCAGCTAGCTTGCAACCAACTTTAAAGCTTGCAACCAACTTTAAAGCATACAGCAGTTAATTGCACCCAAGTTTATTATTTTACTCAGGCAGTCTAATGCCTGACAATTTTACTTGTCAAGGGGACAGTCTTGTCAATTAATTGTATTTCTTAACTTCCCAAAGTTTCATTTTACATTTAATTACAATATATCACAAAATCAAATGATCTAAGTGAGAAGGTTCACAACAATCACAAATAATATATCTAACTGAAATTTGAGCTCTACTCCAATACTGGGGACACCACCACTGAAACCTGAAACTGCTCTCAAACATATCATCAATCAATTTAGGTTAATTGTCAGAGCATAAGGTTGGTCAATGCCAAGGTGACTGGCACACATATTGTGCACCTGTCATTCCTATATTACCGGCCTCTAATGACTATGTTGGGCGAGATATTGTAAACCGGCCTCTGAATATAAGCCAGCTAGCCCTGGGCTTGTATTCTAATACGTATGGCTAAGCTGCATTAATAAATATACCTGGAGCCAATTGTATCAAGCCTGTTTAGCTTAAACGTTGGTTAAGCTCAAAATAGAAAGCAAGTCTATAGATTCATTCAACAACCAAACTAGATGTTTTGAACCTTAATAGAATGTTTACAACTACATATTCAGTGCAGAATATTTAAGTTGACTGATTCATGAGAAATTAAGCTAAACAGGCTTGATACAACCGGCCCCTGTCAAATAATATAAGCCCATGGGCTTGTACACACAGGCCTGGCTTTAGAGGGGGGACGGGCTTATATTCGGAATAGCCTGAGCGTTAGTAAATATGATGGGACTATACACAGGGGGGCTTATATTGGGGGGGGGGCTTATATGTTTATGGTAATTGCTTGATTGCAATGGGTATTGAATGGTTTGAACCTGATGTCTTTGGCCTAGCTAGCAAAGTATTTGTTCACTTGTCTACATGTCATGTAAAGTGAGATTTCATATAACTACACAGTAATTATAAACAACTTCTGGCAAGAACCTGGCAAGGATATCACTCAAAGTTTGTCAAGGAAAATTTAATATACTAAAATACTAAATAAATACAAGTGTGCAGACACTACAGCAAGGACTTTGAAATCATATTAACGACATTAACCAGCCATGAAACCCTACGCAAAGAACAATAAAATGTACAGAATTGCCAACCATTTACAGGTTGTTATGTCTGCTAATAATTTGCTGTTCATATACTTTTATGTTCGTAGTATTATAAACTTTGTAGTTTGTACTTCTGCTTCAAATTTTCTAGAATATATAAAAATCTTACCGGTGAATAAAAAGATTCTTCTTGTACATCTCATACATCTACGAGCGGCGCAAAAAGGCAGGATCCTCGACATTGTAAATCAACCAAGTTATAGGAGAAAAATATCAAGATTTTCAGTGCGATTTTTACCTCAAAAACAAGCGAAATCATAAAATATCTGTGCTGAAACCAGGGGCATAGAATAAAGATCCATATAGAAGGGCCACTTACGTCGGAAGCTTTGAAGTTTCTGTCCTCGCGCATGTCGCATTACGCATGTTGGCCGCCATTTTCCTAGCCAGTCAATGACATTTTCTGGCCAATAAACACGCTGTACTGGCTGGCTGCTCCGCCTTCTGGCCAGTAAACTGCATATTTTTGCATAAAAAAACGAGGACACGTTGCACCCCTGAGTGGCCCTTCTATATGGATCTTTATTCTATGCCAGGGGGGTGAAGTACATTGTCGAAAACTTAGGATCGCGGTTGGGACAGTGGTAGTTGCCATGAATTTAGGGACCAGTAGTCATGGCAATGGCGTACTAGCGGCTAAATCGAGGAATGCACATTTACATGACGCCATCTTGAATCATTATTAACTCGGGACATTTGTGGTTATCTTATGATAATAATGAATTAGTAAAATGGTTATCCATTAAAGTGCTCCTTTATCCCTTGTCTACATCCGTAGTTGCTGCCGAGCGTAGCGAGGCAGCACCATTGAACTACACAGCCAGAAACGCCACAGACTTGTTGCAAGTTGTCAAATTTACCGGCTTGTTGCAACTTGTCAACAAGTTGCAACAAGCTTGTTAATTTCATCAAGTTGCAACAAGCTTGTTAAAATCAGGCTTGTTGCAACCTGTCATTTACAGACTTGTTGCAACTTGTTGAAACAACTTGCAGCAAGCCTGTGGATAACAAGTCTTAACAAGCTGTTATAACAATTTGCAACAAGCTTGTTGAATCAACAATGCTGTTGCAAGTTGTTAAAACAGACTTGTTGCAAGTTGATATTATCAAGCCAGCATCAAGTTGTTGGAACAACTTGTAACAAGCTTGTTGATGACAAGATTTAACGAGTTTGTTAGAACAACTTGCAACAGCATTGTTGATTCAACAAGCTTGTCGCAAGTTGTTCTTAACAGATTTGTTGCAAGCTGATATTTTCAAGCCTGCGTCAAGTTGTTGGAAAAACCTTGATGTATAAATTGCGGCCTCATGATCAAACTGATTTAAAGTTGAGACGTTATTATTATGAGAAGAAATTATTATGAACAACCGACTATATTTGAAAAACATTAGTTGCGTAAACGCAACAAGCAAACGTAGTTGTACTGTAATTGTCGCGAAAGTTTAAGCGCTTGGCCGTCTTCTTGTTTGTCGGCTCGCGACAAAATAGTCCGAATATTTCGCTAATTTGCCATGTGGTTCATAATTTTTTTAGCAAATGGCTTCGCCGATTCAGAGCAATAGCAGGCAAGTTTCGCACTTTTAATTATTCTTGGATGGTTAATCAAGGCTGTGTACATCGTTATTTTTGAAAATGCGTAATATAAAACAATAAAATTTTATATAAATCGCCATGTTGTTCTTGAAAGGAATTATCCGAAACGCACCACGTATATATAAATTGAATCCATATTAAATTCATATATCAATATATTTTCGTACAAAACATCGCTTTAAAGGTGGTTTCTATAGAAACAATACAAATACATTATAAACTACGCTACAAGAAACAAATTACTTTACAAATACATAGAAAACAGGACCAAAAACATGCAAATGTACCTGACTTTTGCCCTTCGTAATCCGAACAAACAATCAAAAAATATAAACCCAACATGTGTTTTTATCACGTGATGTCCTGCCTGCTCGCAGGCGATTAGGCCCTACTTTTCGGGTTAGATCCTACAAACCGGCCCCTATCGAGTATAAACATAGTCGATATACCAAAACACAAGGATCTACGCCCAGTAACTGGAACAAAGTACTAGTTCGATTGGCTTCGTTTAACAACAACAAATATATGAACGTTTGTATATACCAGACCTTGCGACTATTCATCGACTTCTTTCGCTTCTTCGACTAGGCACAGTTCACGGACATGTCTCTTAAATTTCCCGCCATTCGATCTAATCATAACTTGACGCACCATTCCGTCCTTATCTGCAAAAACTTCCTCGACCACTGCCATAGGCCACTGTCCTCGTGAACATCTCTTATCCACCATTAACACCAAATCTTTGACCTTTAAGTTCCTTCTGGGTTTCAGCCACTTCTGGCGCTGCTGCAGACTAGGTAGGTATTCACCCAACCATCGTTTCCAAAATGTGTTAGCTAGAAGTTGAGCTTGTCGCCATCGCTTGCTATAACGATCTTCGCCAACGAACACGCCTGTAGGAAGACACGAGTTCGATCTCAAGAGAAGCAACTTGCTTGGAGTTAGTGGGTCCAAATCACATACTTGACCTTGGTTACGATTCAGGGGGCGATCGTTGAGAATTCTTTCCACCTCGACTAAGAACGTGAGAAGTGCTTCGTCATCAATAACCTGCTCGCTTGTCAGTGCAGTTAATATTCTTCGGATTGATCGAATCATGCGCTTCCACACTCCACCAGTGTGACTTGCCAAGGGAGGGTTGAAATGCCACGTGATTTCTTTCATTCGTAAACGATCGTTGATCTTGGCTTGAGACTCCACTGACTGAATATTCTTGAACTCTTCCTTCAAGATTCTTGACGCTCCAATGAAATTGGTTCCATTGTCACTAAAGATTTCCTTCGGAACCCCTCGACGGGCTGTGAAGCGACTGAATGCACAGAGAAACGATTCTGCATCGAGAGAATGTGCGACTTCTATGTGAGCTGCCCGCATGGCCAAACAAGTGAAGATGCATCCGTATCTCTTGACTTGACTTCGACCTCTCTTCACCATCAAAGGACCAAAGTAATCGACTCCCGTTGACGCAAATGGATAATCTGGAACAGTTACACGAGCTGCTGGTAAAGGCGCCATTATCTGTTCACAGGGCGACGCGTATTTCTTGCGGCATTGAACACATTTGCCAATGATCCATCGAATCCTGGAACGCCCTTGGAGAATCCAAAATTCACGCTGAATAGCCGATAAAACAGTACGAACGCCCGAGTGTCCTTCTTGCTCATGATAGTGCCGTATCAACAGTTCTACAATGTGGTGCTTGCCTGGAATGATCGCGGGATGCTTGGCGTCAAAACTTATTGATGCTCTATCCAATCGGCCACCAACTCTTAATAGACCGTCGTCTGCGAGGAAAGGTGATAATGCTGCCAATTTGCTGGATTTCTTCACAACAATTTTCGAGGTAGATTGACCGCTCGATCTGCGTTTAAGACGGGTAATTTCATCGGGAAAGGCTTCCTGTTGTACGTAACGAATAAGTTGTTTCCTTGCATTTTGTAAATCATTGACTGTCAAAGGCCCTACGCCGGCCCCAGTGACTTCGTCACGGGAACGAGTACT